TCAAAGCTGAAAGCTGCCGCCTCCGAGGTACCGAAGCCTAGGGCTTAGTTCGAGGCACCTCCGACGCCCGATGTGGCATGCTCTCAACATCGTCATCGTCGTCACAGTGCTCCTGCGAGACAGAACGCTTTTATTTCACGGCTTAAACATCGTGTACAATATAGTGACGTCGAGGTCTACTGATTGGTCGACGCTGTGTCGCACTTCTAGTTTACGCTTTAACCACGGAAGAAATATCTGGCGCAAGCGGCGGCCTTTGCTCCGCCCTCTGGCCAAACTCTCTCAATATATGGCTCTGGGGAGGGGCTCCGCTCTTCGACCCATTCGCCGTTGAACTTGCGTAGAAGCTCAACTTCAGAGACCCAAACGACTGGGGGAGGTGGATCGCATGATGGGAACGCTATGGCATCGTTTCCAGGCTTAATTCACGACACCAAACGACCGAGGTGAACACATTTCTCTACGCTATGAGACGAAAGGCCGAGGACGTTAAATGTTTTATAAGAAGCTGCCAGCTGATGAACTCAACGTCTACGACACAGCGAGAGAAAAAATTGAAGCCCACTTCATTCTTCATACGGACGTCATATAGGAACGGGCAAAGTTTTACATGAGGAAACAAGAGACGCACGAGACAGCAGAAGCATTAATAACAGACTTGTACAGGATGGAAAACACCTGCAACTATGGAAGCCTCAGGGAAGACCTGATCAGAGATCGGCTAATAGTAGGCCTCATAGACAAGAAGTTTGTGAAAAGCTCCAACTGGACGCAAAACCAACGCTACAGGGGGTGATTCGGAACAGTGAAGCGTCAACAACACCAACTTCGTGGTCACGAGGCAGTGTGTGCCGACGTTGACGAACTTCATAATTCAGGAGGCCGTTATTGTCCGCCACACCGCGAACATTCAAAGCTACTGACAGCGTCTGAAACATCGTCTTCTGCAGATGGTGTGGCGGCACTCTGAGACATATCAAGGCACAAATCCCAGCAACGGGGAAGAAATGCAATGAATGCAAGAAAACTGGCCATTCTCATGCGGTTTGCATGGTCAGAGACCGTGCAACACAAGCACGCTCAAGCAACCACGGCAAGCAAAGAACCTCCACCGTGGAAGAGCTATTCGTGGGACAGGTGCTCCACTCAACGAACGGACAACCATGGACTGTAAGAGCCAGAAGTGGACAAAAGACGCTTACATTCAAGGTTGACACGGGTGCAGATGTCACGGTGATTCCAGCCACGGAATACGATGAACGTGCCATGGGCACCCTGATGGTTGCCAAAGACAAACTTCTCACGGCAGGAAGATCACACCTTTTTACCCTTAACAGTTCATCCGGACAATCCAGTGGAACAACAAGAGAACTCAGCAGAAAATATTTGCTGCTGAAGGTATCCCTTGGACGTTACTGGGACCTTCAGCGATTCAAGCCCTCGACGTGCTTTAGGCACAGCACGAGGTCAGCACTATAAGCAGCCGTTGTCCGAAGGAATACGAGTCGCCTCTGGAGAGTCGTCTGGAAATAATGAAGACGACGTACGAGATCGCACTTCATCCCGATATCAAGCACTTTGCGATCACATATCCTCAACGTGTGCCTATCTCCTTCCTTCCAGAAGTTCGTTAGGAAATACAGCGAATGCTGGACTTTGGAGTGATTGAACAGGTAGTGCACGCAACGGAATGGTGTGCGCCAATGGTAGTTGCAAAGAAAAAAGACGACAGCATGAGGATCCGTGTCGACTACGCGGAGCTCAACAACCACGTCATTCGGGAGCGCATCGTTATGCCAACAGTCGAAGAGAACTTGGCAAAGCTCGCTGGAGCACCCATTTTCAGCAAGCTGGACGAAAACGCGGGTTACTGGCAGATTCCCTTGGCTCCCAGATTAAAGGAACTGAGGACATTCAACACGCCCCTAGGATGCTTCCAATGCCAGCGGCTGCCGTTTGGTATTCCAACGGCGCCCGACACTTTTTTTCAGGAAGAGATGCTTTGAATTCTTGAAGGAATATCAGGTCAAATATGTCAAATGGACGACATACAGGTGTTCGGGACTGACAGGCAAGAACATGACAAAACCTCAAAAAGGTACTACAATATCTACGCAACGCAAGAGTCACCCTCAACAATACCAATTGCCAGTTTGCAAAGAACAAAGTCAAGTTTTGGGACACATCCTGAACGACTGAAGCATCACAGCAAACCCAGAGAAGACGGCAGTTGTGACCAACCAACATACCAGCAACTGAAAACCTGAAGGAGCTGCGATCATTTCTAGGCATCGTCAACCATCTGGCGAAATTCCTTCCCATTATGCTACAAAAGACAAGGCCGCTGAGGGACTTGCTACACGGCGACGGATGTTGGTAGAGGGGTTCTGTACCAACGCATGTTGGTACAGAGCCCCTTTAAACAAATCAAGGCCGAACTTTGTACGACTTCGGTCCTCGCTTAATAAAACAACCCTCAAGCGCATCTGATCCGTCATCATGTGGACTCGGGTCTGTACTACTGCTGCAAGAAGACTAAGATTAGAAAACACTTCTTGTGGCTTACGGTTCTCGAGCTTTGCAAAAGTGGTACAGAGTGACGCTAAAGTAGAAAAGGAGGCGCTCGCTTTCACATGCGCCTGCGAACACTTCCGAATGTACCTACTAGGACTAAGAGTTTACGTGTAGATGGACCACGAGCAGCTGGTAACGTTATTCTGAAACAAACGACTAGACGAGAATACGCAACGTCTACAATGCTTGGGTGTGAGGATCTCGGGGTACGACTTCACAATATCTCACGCACAAGGAAAGGTACGCACACCGCCAATGTACTATCGCGGAAGCTCAGCAGATCCAAAGCAAGCCACACAGACAAGCAGGAACCCTACATAAAAGAGTACGAGCTCTTAGCACTGGAACTCTTGCCTGTGTCGTTTAAACTACTTGAGGAAACTCAGGTCCGAACTCAGTAAGGATGTGACCACGGCACAGATCATGCTTTACTGCAAGAGCCAGTGGCCCGTACTCAAGAACTTATCACCAGAAGCAAGGACTACGGGAGCGTGGCATCACAACTTACCACGATTCAAGGGTTCCTGATAAGGAACAACATACTTATTGTTCCAGCTGTTCTGCGATAAGACATTTTCGAACGCCTGCACAGTGCACACACCAGGGCACCGTGAGATGTCGAGCCAGAGCGAGGGACTTCTTTTGGTGGCCAGGCGTCACTCAACAGATCCACTACTACGTCAACTTGTGCCTTCCCTGCCAGAAGTTCCGGTAACCAGGTGCAGAGCCCATAATTCCGACACCTTTGCTTGAACATACATTTCAAGAAATCAGTATGGATCTCTTTCTGTTGGAAGGGGAAAAAATACTTGGTAGTTATCGACTACTTATTTAAGTTCTTTCAGCTTAAGCACCACCTCAAGACACCAAAAGACATCCTTAAAGCACTTAGTGAAATATTACCAGGATTTGGAATCCCAGAGGTCATTCGTTCTGACGGTGGACCCAGCTCGGATCAAGCGGATTCAAGTATTTTATACACAAGTAGGGAACGCGACAGGTAACGTCAAGTCCCTATTATTCTCAAAGCAACGGCGAGGCAGAGAGAGCCGTCCGAACCGCCAAAAAGCCTGCTCAGGAAGTCCGAGGACCCTGCACAACCTCTTCTGGCTCACATGACTACGCCAGGGAAGGAAGGCAATTCGCCAGTGGAACTTTGGATGAGACGACGACTGAAGCCTACAGTTCCTCATCACCGCAACTTCTGACCCCCAACTGGAATTGCACTGCTGCTACGGGCAGCGTCAAAACGTCGTGAAAGCAAAAGAGGCAAGCTATTACAACAGGCGTCACAGAGCAAGAGACCGAGCTGAACTGTCACCTATATCAGCAGTCTGGATGTTCGCGGGCGCCGCACACGAAGGAGTGGTGCTACAGCACACCTGCGAACCACGGTCGTAGTTGGTGCAGACTGAACACGGTACATTACGCCTCACAACCAGACAGATAAAGATTGCGGCACAAAACGCGACACCCAGTGTGGTCGCAGGCAAGGAACCACCAGCTTCATTTGAAAGCAATAACGCCCTGGTTACCAGAAGCGGAAGGATCTCCAAAGATCCTGCACGATATGAAGAATATGTCTTAGAAAGGAAGGTGTACTGTGCAGTGACTGAAAGAAGAGAACTAAGTCAGTCACGGGACGCAAGGGTTTCGGGGAGACACTATTAAAAAGTGGAACACACGTTCGTCACGATCCTGGTCTCAAATGCTCTTGGAGATCCGTCCACGGTACGCGACACAAACAAGCTAACAGTGTCCATTTTATGCCAGTCCCCATCAAATATTCGAATGCCGATGGTACTGATAGGCCAGCGTTGACCATTTTATTCTAGCGCTCATCCAATGTTAGCAAGCCAAGGGTACTCAAAGGCTAACATTGACCGTTTTAGGCCAGTATTCATCCAAAATTCGCCAGGAAGCAGACCTTTCAGGCCAATATTGGCCATTTCATGCCAGTTTACATCCCATATATGCAAGACAATGAAACTGACAGATCAAAATTGCCCATTTTATCAAAATGTACTTCCGATATTGGTTGATCAGTGGATAAGCTGGGTCATCAGTGAAGATTCTATATAATGGCATAAACAATATTGGGAACAGATTGGCTAAAGTGGACCATTAATGTACCTTTTTTTACTGGAGCTCTTTCAATATTGACCCAACACCGTGTACTGCCTGGGTTGTTTGAAGAGCTTGTTACCCGATTGAGTTTATTGGTGCTTAAAAAAAAGCATTTACTAATATGTGACAAAAAGAACCTGTTGACTGTGTATTATGTAAGATAGCTTAACCAAGTTATTTACTTTATTATATAGTTTACGAATATGAGGATTAGTCTTTCCTCTCTCTGCATCCTTGGAGTATTTAAGTTATCGTGTTACCTAGGTAAGTGAAAGGCTAATATTCGGTAGGCAGTATTTTTATCCTGTCCACCGATTCTCCCATGTCATTTCAACCATACTCCAAAACGGCTCGGGAAGTTTATCCGGCAAGTTATTCAGATCCGCATTCTTGCACTTTCCACTTGCATCGCACCTCTGAAAAAAAAAAAAGAATGTTAAATGTGAATTTCTTTGGCAAGCACTCGTCTTAGAAGCCGGTTTATATTCACCACGTGTATTCCTTTATAAACGGAACATGCCAAATAAGGTTTAGTTCGTAGCAATCCTCACCAAATTGATGCAAATATACCTGACGGGAAAAATAATGCAACAAAATTTCCTACAAAATGCTCTAAAACTAAATAAACGTGTCCATACAGCATTATAGAAGCTTGAATTACAAGCACTTTGTCCATTGCAAGGTTGACAGTGAGGTGAAAGTTACCTGCTCGTTGGACCTGTCATAAGTCTATCTTTCGCTACGTCATCACACTTCCGCCCATACCCACAAGCAGAGAACGAGGTCAGTAAGTGTCAACGGAGCATTACTTGCACTCCTTTTGGTCCCTTAGGGTTTTTAATTGGAAGTTTGGTTGCCCCTGGTATGATTGTACCACTTAGTAAACACAAAAAAATATATAAGTTATATTGTTACGGATGAAAAATTATCGGGAAGCGTAAAACTGAAAATAAAGATTTAATCGGCGAACTTGTGCCAGAAACAAAAAGAAAGAAAAGAATGAACGTTTAGAACGTAGCAGCGAGCGTCGAAGGCGGCAGCAGGGAGTGTCGAGCGTCGGCATGACAGCTGGCTAGCGCGAGAGGGTGCGAGGGTCAGTTGGCAATGCCGCGCTGGGCTCCTTATATATTACCCTCGGTATCTCGAGCATTCAGTGTAGAATGTTCGAGCGCCGAACATTCGGAAGACTGACTCGGCAAGGTCAGGCTGACCCTCTTATATTTTAGAGAAAAACCCGAGTCTCAGGTATTGACAGACGACGACAAGGAAGAGAAGGAGAACGTCTCAAACACAGCTGAACCTTTATTAAGGAAAGACCCTTTATATAGGGTTGAAGAAAGAAGGAAGGAAATGGAACCCTTCTTCACACCACCTCCCGTAACAAAAGACACGACAACACCTCTCTCCACAAAAGACACGACACCGGACCTCTAACAATAGGGTCAAACCAACAAAACAACTGACAGCACCAAAGATGACACATCATTCACAAAAGAAAAAAAAACAAAAAACGGAGAACCACAGATTGCACTGGACCTTTCACTGAGGAAGTCAGCTACAAGACTACAAAAAACAAATATTAAAAATATTCTCGGGTTCTGTGTTTGATATATACCAGCTCACTTGCGGCCTTACGTTCTGCCCACTGACCATCTTTTACACTCTGAGGAAGTGTAAACAGGAAGCTTCTAGTAGTACGAAGAAGCATTTTTTTTGGTTCATAAAGGCGGCAATGTGGGGTCTTTAGTTCACTTAGTTTGGGCATAACTAGGATGGCTCACAACACTCTGAATTAACATTAAATTTACTTTTACCTAGGCGAGCCCTACTGGAGAAGCATGGGGGAAGATGGGAACATACTTTTCTCATAACCGTATATCCCTGACATGGGTTACGGTTGGGTAAAATATTTCACCTCAAATGTATTGATCCTAACTATGGAACGTCTTTTACATATAGCACCTATTTTATGTAAATAGTCTGTTTTAACCCTACTAGCTGCTTTTATTAGATATACATATTCCCAAACGTTGCAAACGTTCTCATTAAGAGCCCAAATGTGGGCATTGTGCTCGTAATCATTGGGATTCCAAGTTAATGCTGGTTCTGCTCACGCCAAGTTTTGTCCAAATTGGCACACCTAAGGAAACCAATGAGAACCATTGCCATGCTACGTGGGTTGCCTCTTTAAAGGGAGAGTTCAACGAAATTTAAAATATACCCATGGTGTTCAAAAATAGGTCGAATATGTTCCACAATATCCTTAAATAACAATCACACGTTTGTATCTTGAGCCTGGTGGCTGTATTTTCCGTTATAAACGGCCCACTCTGGCAAGCGCTCGGAGAGAAGCCAGCGGAGAGCACGTGACATACTCCGCAATCGTGACGTAGTTCGCCTTGGGACTAGCAAAGCTACGGCAAGGCTGACGTCGAGAGGATGTCGTAATCGTTCCAGTCACTGAAACGGCTGCCTTTGTACGAGTATTGAGTGACGGGTTAATCTTTTATAATCTTTTTATAATCTTGCATAGGGGCAATAGCGACTTTTGGGACAGACAAAATAAAGAGTCTCGGGGAAAGTAGAGTTCCTCCTGCCCTTCTTCTCTCGTCGTGGCCGTAGGCGAGACAGTTACCGTCACTAGCTGTCAAGGTTCCTAGACGGGCATTACAAGCGAGGCGTTAGCGACATCCACCAGGTGCTCTTTGCTAATCGTTTAATTCGTTTTAAAATTCCTTTTCGAGACTTTGTTAACAAGATATAGGTATGTTCGATGTGATACTGCTCCTTTGAACACATATAGACCAAAAAATGAGCGCCGCAATTTCGTTGTAGTATCCTTTTAAAGGGACCATGAAACGATTCTGAAATCGAATTTCATCCACCGGACGTCGTAAATGGTGTGAAAAGAAACACGAAAATAGGGAGTCAAAAGAAATTCTTTGCTATAGAACTTTTAAAAGAAAACTGGACTCTTTTTCGCCTTCTTTCCTTCGAAAGCTCTCTGCCTTTTCACTGCTATGCATCCGCGGAACTGCAGCACGTCAGCCGAATCCACGTCGCCTATTGGCCGCCTACCTCACCAGCACCGCGATCATAAACAATAAATAGCCGGCAAATGTTTCCTAAAAGTTTTGTTAAAGATTATTCAGATTCACATTTTGAAGCATAATTAGAGATGTGTGGCGAAAATTGCCAAATTTGATAATGCTGAGAGCAAAGCGCCATCTATCGTCTGGTAAACGAAGCTGAGAGCCAGCTCCGGAGCTGTCTTAAGGGCCGCCCACACTAGCGAGAAAACGCGCGTGGCACGCCGATCGCGAGAAGTAACAAAAAGTCGTCGTAGCACAGTCAGCGCCAAGAGCGCGTGCAGAGACACACCCTTTATCTTCCCGCTCAACCGATTTATCGGCGCGCCGCGCGCGTTTTCTCGCTAGTGTGGGCGGCCCTTTACGCACTTTTTACGATCAAATCAGCATGGCCGACAGCGTCGCTCGGTCGCGACGACCAACGAACGTTTATTTTTCTACGTGTTCTTCTCGCGCGTCCCGACTTCAAGGAGCAAGAAAAAAGTACTTGAAATGGACCACGACGAACAAGAACGCTGTATCCACAAACACCCGAGAAAGGCTACGACGGTCACGAATCCACCGACTCTGACCAAGCGAGCTGCGTAGAATATAGGCCCAGCAGGCACTCCGACTCGGCGCAGCGTTGCTTCGACGGTACTTGGCCAAGACAGTCTGCCCACGACCGGCTGGCGTGCTGAAGGGAATATGCCCACGCGACCCTTGTGGACCCTTCCCGTATTATAGTTTGATCGCTGCACTCAATTTTAGATTAACAGGTGAGGTCAATCTCTTCGCCTTGTCATCTCCTTGTTTTCCGAGGGAGTGTTGACGAACACTGTCGCCGAAAAGGGACTCTGGTCGATTCTATCTTCTTGTTTTGTGTGATATAGAGCTCGAATAAACGCCGTATGGATTACCTTCGTAACACGGTATGTACACTTTGTCATTAGTATGCCATTTTCATTCTGACACGACTGCATGTCACTGTCGAGCTATAACAGTTCGTGGGAGGTATACGTGCAATGCCGGTCCAACCTTCCTTTGCCGAGTGCCACGTCAGTATCGAGTTGCAATTGTAAAAGATTGGTACCGACGCGCTCACCAACAGCGCGAATACAGCACTTCCATCAAACGCGTGCGTCCGCTCAGAGTGTGAACAGGTATTTACGTGGCTCTTGCTGACATTGTCGTAGTTCAAACGTATCTTCTTTAACGTCGGCTCGCTCCTGCACCTCCGAGGCCGCGAAAAACGCCGCGGCGATTTGTTTCCATCTACGTCGCTTTGCAAACGACTGACACGGGCCGCCTTTTAGCAACAATGACAGTTGGGTTGACTTCTGGAGTCTTCACCGGAAGACTCGCCGCACTTCCCAACAGGCATACCGGCGTATGAGACTATACTCCGCGACAACATTTCTTGTCAATGTAGTGGAAGGTACAGGCCCGCGTCCCCTCTCCCATTTCGAGTGTACGCAGGCTCTCCTCCTCCCCCATTTCCGGGGAGAGGAGGAGAGCCCGCGCACACTCAAAATGGGAGAGGGGACGCGGGCCTGTACCTTCCACTGCATTGCCAAGGAAAGTTGTCGCGGAGCAGGGTTGGGCAGAAATACTCAAAAATGTATTTGGAAATACAAATACGGGGGTACATTAAAATAGTAGCTAAAATACTGATACTAAAATACATCTGTAAAAATGTATCGCGATACGTATCGGAAATACATTTAAAAAAGAGGCAAAAAGTATTTGGAAATACAAATACAGGAATACATCTCAGGGAGGGCAGAAATACAAATACAAAAATTCTAATAGCTCAATACATTTTCCAAATTTTTTGAGACGCCAACTGAGATGAAGCTTGAAGTTTGAAGTGGATGTTTTCGATCCCGCAATTTCTTTCCTGTAGGCTTGGCACTTTGCCTTGAAGGTAGTGGTTTCGGACGACAAAGAGTCTTCAATGGGCCCAAAAAAAGTTACATCAAGGGCTCTCCGCGGTCCCTTCCATGACATCTTGTCTGTCTGACGAGGGAATCCTGTCAACATTAATCAGATGATGTCACGGTGGAATGAACTAATATTCTTTATCTGTAGGTGTGGCCTTGAACATGAAACTTTACCACGCTGCTGTATGAAAGGACAATACGTACTTTCGTTGTAGGTTACCTGGTTGAAGATTGTGCATACAGTGTCATTTGTAATTTTTGAGAATAGTAGACCACCTGAAGCATCTTGGAATACATGTCTTATCTTCTGTTACGGTTGAAAAAAACAATACGGTAGCATCTCTGTTCTGAAAGTCCTTACTACCGACCCTCCGCCACCGACGCACGGATTGCAGTCCTCAAGTT